TGTGTGTCTGTGTGTCTGTGTGTCTGTGTTGGGTGTGGTGGCACACACCTTTAATTAACTCTAGCACTTGGACAGCAGAAGAACACAGATCTTTATGAGCTCAAGGGCAGTCTAGTCTACATTTTGAGTTCTAAGACAGCCAGGGCAGCACAGTGAGACTCAGTCTAAAAAACAAAACAAAACAAAACAAAACAAAGAAGTTTTTAATTCCTAGGCATGAGACCTGGATAGATAGAAACAGAAATTGAATTGAATGGGAGGAGAAACAAAGTACTAGAGGAAATGAGTTTCCTTTCACTGGTTTGTCTTGGGTGATTTGTACTTAGCCAAAAAGAACGGGTTCCCTCGTTGGAAAGTGGGTTTGGAAGATGTTCGTCACTGCTGCACACACCCTGGCCAGCCTCGAGGTGCGGTGCTCTGGGAAACACATCTCACTGAGGGCTGGAACCTTCTGCTTGGCCAGAGATTGATGACGGTGGTGATTTTGGAGAAAAATAATGCATCTTCTTTTCTTTTTCTTTTTGTTGTTTGTTTGTTTTTTGAGACAGGCTTTCTGTGTGTAACAGCCCTGGCTGTCCTGGTACTAGCTCTGTAGACCAGACTTGCCTCAAACTCACAGAGATCCTCCTGCCTCAGCCTCCCAAGTGCTGGGATTGAAGATGTGCTGCCACCACTGTCTAGCTTCTTTTATTTCTTTTAAAATTTATTATTATACGATGTGTGTGTGTGTGTGTGTGTGTGTGTGTGTGAGAGAGAGAGAGAGAGAGAGAGAGAGAGGGAGAAGGAGAGGGAGAGGGAGAGGGAGAGGGAGAGGGGCAATGCACATGTAGGGCTCAAAAGACCATGTCATGGAGTCATCTTCTACCTTTACCTGGGGTTCTGGGGATCACACTCAGGTTGCCAGACTCGTGTAGCATACATCTTTACACACTGAATCATCCCTCCAGAACCACCTCTTGTTCTATTAACTGCTGCCCTAGGCCAGTAAAGAGAAAGAACAAATAAAAACCTCCCTGACTTTATCATAGAGTCAAACTGAAGGCCGGAGAGACACACTCCCCCATGATAACTCAGTTTTAATTGCTATGTTCAATTCATAGTTTCTTCTTAGACCTTTCCAGTAATTAAAAGGCGTCTGAAACCTGAGCTATTTCTAAACTTCTTGGAATTAGTGAGAGGAGGTATGAATCCCCACGGGGAGGACCTAGAGGATGTGCTAGCTGACACCCATCCTGGGGACACTCCCTGTGTGTCTGTGAGATGCTTGAGGGTGTTTTGGATACACTGAACCATGTCCACACGCCCTTCCTTTAGGTGTTCTGTGCTCTGAGTCCACACAATGCCACAGGAAGAAGCTCACTTCGGTTACCCCAGGAAGGGCCACAGCCACTCTTACGTCACCGCTGAAGAGTAAGTTAAAAAGCAGGGTTTTTAACTTCTGGGGTTCCAGTTTGCTATTCGCGGCCCAAGCCTGCTGACTTCCACCCACACATGCCAACCACTGCCCCCGGGGGAGACCTGGTGGCCCTAGAATGCTCTCACTCACACTTCTCTGGGGCCAAATGGAGGGGAGCTAGAAGTGAGAAAAGTTAGAAACTCCTATTCTTGTCTGCATTCTCGGGCCTTGGTTGTTGGTTCTCAAATTGGGAAACATCTGTCCAGGACCCGACACCTGCTTCCTTAAGCCTATCTCATCAGCTCCTCTCAGGACTCCTGTGGAAACTTTGTAGACAGAATAGCATTAAGTTGCTAAAGAGCGAGTGTGGCCTCCATGGGACTGGACTAGGCCCTCTGCATAGGTGAGGCAGTTGTCTGGCTTGGACTGTTTAAGGGGTCCCCTGGCAGTGGGATCAGAATTCGTACCTGGTGCATGAGCTGGCTTTCTGGAGCCCACTACCTATGGTGGGACACCTTGTACAGCTTTGGTGCAGGAGGAGGGGCTTGGACCTCCTTCAACTGAATGTACCAGGATCTGCTGACTCCCCATGGGAGGCCTTCCTTGCTTTGGAGGAGGTGGGAATGGGGTGTGGGTTGGGGAGGAAGGCGGGGGGGGGGGGGGGGTAAGGAGAGGGAGATCTGTGGTAAATGAATAGAAAATGTCTTAATAATAAAAAAAGAAAAAAATTCACACACATTCACACACACACACACACACACACACACACACACACACACACACACACACATTTTTAAAAAAAAGAGCCACTGTGGATAAGGGGCATGTGTGTGGGTATCAGCCTGCATGCAGACTTCAGTCTGAAGATGGTGGCCATGACTTTTGCACGATAGTGTCATCCTACAGAAAGATATTTGGACTTCTGAGTTAATTAACAATAAGTATTTATGTCATTACTACTTCTAAGAACTAAGTACATGGTTCAGAGATACTGTTCTATATCTCCGAAAAGGGCCAGAGTCCAGTAGGAGAGTTAGGCAGGGACTAACTCCAGCACTTGTGAGTGCCCTTAGGGGAACACCAGACATACTCCGCAGGTGCTAGGAATGGGAAGGGTGTGGTCGGAGGTGAACCCGAGCTGGGAGTCCAGCCAGGCTTTGATTTAGACCAGTGGTTCTCAAACTGTCCTAATGCTGAGACCCTTTAATACAGTTCCTCATGTGGTGACCCCCAACCATAAAATTATTTCACTGCTAATTCATAACTATAGTTTTGCTACTGTTATGAATCATAATATAAATATCTGATTTGTAGGGTATCTGATATTTGATCCCTGTGCCAGGGTCTTTCGATCCGGGGGTCGCAACCCACAGGTAGAGAACCGCTGATTTAGACCATCTTTATGACGTCTGTTCAGAACACGTGCAGATCTGCTCCACTTGTAGAAAGAGCTTCTGGAAAATCTTACATAAACTACACAGAGTCAAACGGCAAACAAGGTACAGACTCCATCAACGGAGTCTAGCTAGGAGAATTTCCCAGTGGATTTTCCACGCCACGGCATCGCCAGCGGAGAGGTGGGAGTGGTGATGCAGTCCAGCAAATTGTCTCAACAATATATGGCCAATTGTCTCCGTACTCATCCGTACTGCATATGGATGAGCCCACTTAAACTATATTCTTCTCAAACTAGAATTTTATTATCTCCCATTTAGTAGTCTGGGAGCCCTAACCAATCAGTTCCCTTCTTTCTTGCTGTCACCCATGGACATTGCCTCTGTCTAAGTGAGGATGGGATGACATCATCTTTGTGTTCCCCAACAGAACTAAGAAACCCAGGGAAGGCTGGGGCCATTGTTCCCACTGCACTCAGCCTTCTCTCTATGCTGCACATCATGACACCTTGTCTGCCTGCCGTGTTGGATGCGGGGAAAGACTCAGAGAAACCAGGGGATGTGCAGCAGGACGTGGTGATGTTGGGATTCAAGTACAGCTCTGCTTGCCCACGAAGCACTAAGCTGGTAGGCTAACAAAGGCAAATATTTGCACAATCCCATTCAAAGAGAGGAGAGGCCAGAGATCAGTATCTCCAACTGCCAAGCTGGAAGCTGGAAGCTGGAAGCCGGAGGCAGGCGTTGTGGGCTCCGTAGGCTGAAAGCTGAGTCAGCCTTTGTGGTGGGCAGCCATCATTTCCAGCTGGCGAAGCTGGTAAAGCGGCACCCCCAGCCAATGCAGAATTACTCTCGGGGTCTAGTAAGGAGGATGGATGGCAGCAAGTCACTTCACCTTCAGCACGAGGAACCGGCGGGGGCCTCGAGGAGACAAAGCCACAGAAGTGACACTGGGCAGCCCAAACCGCAGGATGCTGCCTCTGCCCCTGGGGCGGAGGGGACAAGTGGAAAGGCAGTTGGAACCTAAAATGGAGGGGAGCGACCCCACAGAATGGGGCCCACATGACGGAAGGGTAATTCTGTCGGCTGGTTCCCGTGTGCTCAGGTGTCTGGCCAGTGGGGCACTGGTCAGCTGGGAGGGGCAGGGAGCGAGCTGGCGACTGAGCTGACTAGCAGTGTGAAGAGCTGCTATGGGTGATGCCTGAACAGAGCAGGAAGCCAACTGTCGTGGAGACTCTTCTTGGACACTCTGCAGAGGCCCACGGGCAAAGCAGAAGTAGGGTTGGGAGAGTCCAGAGCCAGCATCCAGAGCAGGGCATAGGAAGGTGGGTTTGGAGGTGGGGACGACAGCTTACAAAGGGCACCTGGGACTTCTTCTTAGCATTTTGTTAAGTAACCCCTTCACTGGAGGCTCATGCTGTCTTACATCCTGACCAAAGTGCTTATGCAGGGTCAGGAGAGTACTATGGTGTCTTCCAAGAGCACAGAGAGGTCCCGGGTTCCAGCACAGAAGGAAAACACCCACTCAATCTGCATATATGGATGCAATCATGTCCATTGACATCACCAGAGGCCCCAGCGCAGGGCAGTGACACTTTTAACTTCAGTCCTTGAAGGAGGGAACCACAGAGTACCCAAAACATTGTGGAGCATGATTTTGTGCAGGGTAGTGAAAGAGACCAGGGAAGAACACGAGAAGATCACCGCACAAGGCCACCAATATCAGGACCCCACTCATCTCGCTGTCTGTTTGAACGGGAGGGTCAGACACAGGGGTAGCAGAGGCCTCTGCAGTGAAGCAATGCATCTCCGAGGTGCTTGGAGGAGAGTTCTCCTCCTTTGAAATCTGCCAAAGGTACAATGAGGAAGAACGATATGACGTGAATCCCCATAGCCAGTCAAAAAGGGCTCCCCACCTGCTGACCGTTAGCTCACTCTGACGCCCCAGTAGACAGGGGTTCTTACACACTTGAGTGGCTAAATGCAGATTCCTAGGTGCTGCCTTCAAGAGGAATCAGTTTAGGCCAGGCGTGGGGGCCCCAGGATCTGAGCTTCAATTGCACCTCAGGTGACTGCTGCCAGTGTCTGAGAGACTGAGGAGCCTGCTAGGCTGGGCAGCGGCTCCCTGTGGCGCGTCTGGCATTCTTTGATGTTTTATGCTTTCAGTCACTGGTGTGTATGTTTTAAGTACAACGTGACTGGGCATAAGAAGCTGGAACAGAGCTCTGTCTGTGTCAAGATGCTCAAAGAGCGAGCAGAGGGTGAAGCGAGGTGCATGCTGGGAATTGTGTCAGCTGCCTTCAATCATAAGAGCCATGCCTTGTGACAGCGTCATCTTAGATGGATTTTTTTTCCAGGAAAGCACTGGACAGTGGGACCTAGGTCTGGTCTGAATCCTAGAGCTTCCTTGATGGCTGTCCAGTACCACTTACTCTGCTGGTTCTGCCATGCGCTGGCTGTGCAGCCTTGAGCATTTTGACAGCCTGATGTCAGCTGTAAAGTGAGCTCTCCCTAGCTCAGAGGATTACTGTGGAAAAAAAAAATGGACAAGGGGGATGGGTAGCACAGCACCTGGCCGGAATGGTGTCAGAGGCAGTTCTGATGCCCGGGACCTGGGGATCTGCGTCACGCAGTTGGTAGCGCTACACGTGGGTCAGCCTATACAACTCGGGCAGAGCTTCCCTCTGGAACAGCCCTCTTCCAGATCTCTCCACCCCATCTAGAATTGGACAGGACAAGCTTGATGCCTTGGCAGCCTTGAGATGAGGGTAGGTGGTCCTGGCAAAACTCCCTCCTTCGTTCACCCTGGCTCCCCCTGCGGCTACTCAGTCTAGGACGCATAACCCAGCTCGGCAGAGCATTTCTTAGCAAGTTCACAGTCACAGCTAGTGTCCAGTCCTCAGTGCATATCACGCCGACTGGCAGTGCCGTGCAGGACCACACATACCACTGTGCCTGGGACCTTTGCAGCAAACTGTAATGTTTCCCAGGGAACCCTGGACACAGGACCCAGCAGCTGGCTAAGAGCCTCAGAACAGCACCCTGATGCTCGGGACAAGATACATAGATAGGTGACAGCGTAACTCTGCACTAGGTCCAGCTCAGACTCTTCTCCTGGGGCCACAGGGAACCTCAGGCTCAAACCCTGACTCTGCCTTGTGATAGCTCTGGGTGGCAAGCCATTGGTCCTCTGAATTTATTTCTTCCAGTGTGATGTGGAGATAATGATTGGTTCCTTGCTGCAGAATTAGGACCCTGGCTCATAGTCAGTGTTCATTTCTACTTCTATTTTCTGGATTGAGTTGGAAAAAAATGCTTTAAAAGAGCTGTGTTGAGAAGAAAAGGTTAATCTATTTTGGTAAGTATGCTATCCACATAAGGGTCAGGTGCCAGGGCACCCCTTAATCTTGGGGCTTGGGTGTTCCTAAACTAGGCCCTGTCCTTAGATATTGGAGCTGGAGGTCTGGTCAGATGCCCTTTGTAGAAAATGGCAAACTATCTGGAGACCAGAAGATGCTTTTCTGGACCACGAAGAAGGAGAAGGTTGGTTGTTTCATTGCAGTCTGGAACGATGTTTCTGAGCTGCGTTGGACATGTCTATCTCTTGGCCCAGGGCTGCGGGGATTGGCATCCTGACCGTGGTCCTGGGAATTGCTCTGCTCATCGGCTGCTGGTATTGTAGAAGACGAAGTGGATACCGAACCTTGACGGTGAGTGTGGTCCCCTGCAGGGTCCCATCTTCCTCTGAACTTCTGGGGATGCCATGCATGCGTGTGCATGTATATGCACTTGCCAGGGTATGGGTGTGGAGGCTAGAAGAGACAACTTTTGGGAGTTGGTTTTCTCCTTCCATCATGTGGGGCTTGGGAGCAAACTCAGCTTGTCAGCCTGGGTGGCAAACGTTCTCCTCGCTGAGCTGTATCCCTGCCGAATTCCAAGTTCTCCTGACTCTGTCATACTAACTCTGTCATACCACGGTATCCAAGGTCTTCCTGAGGATGATCGCATCAGCATCGTCCTCCCTGCAGCATCAGGGGCACCACGAAATAGTCCCTTCATCCATTTATCTGTCTATTGGTCCTGTAAAGATCACGTGCAAACTTGTCATAACGCTAACATTAGAAGGGGGCCTTGAAAACCTGAACGTTTGTGTAGGTTCCAAAATAAGTCTGGGCTTTTTGAGGCCAGGCAGGCACAGCAAGAAAGGGAAACTTACATTTCTCAAAGGAAAAGCAAGTGTTACATAGTAAAAACAAATCTTCAAAAACGAAAGCCACTGGGCGGGAGAGATGGCTCAGCTGTTAAGTGCACTGGCTGCTCTTCCAGGGGACCCAGGTTCGGTTCCCAGCATGGTGGTTCACAGCACTCTGTAACTGCAGGCCTAGGGGATCTGTTAAGCTCTTCGGGCCTCTGCAGGAACCAGGTATGCACATGTTGGTGCACAGACATACGTTCTGGCAAGATACCCATACACATAAACTAAATAAGTAAAATAACAAATTAAAGCCACTAGCTAGGGACGGTGGTAACTTCAGCACTTTGGAAGGCTGAGGCAGGAGGACAGAGTTCAGGCCACCACAGGTGAACAGGAAAAACATGTTTAAAAAATAATAATAATAAAGCACCCCTCCCAATCCCCAAGCAGGCTTTCAAACACATCACTTCAAAGTTAGATTGTCATAGAATCATCAATATACATCGTCCTAGAAACAGCGAAACCATACCAAAACACAAAGCCCTGAAGTCAGGGGGCTGAAATATGGCAAAGTGGACTGAAACTTTCAGGAGTGTCAACCCTCTGTGATTCTGACCCACACTTCTCAAGGCTGCAGAAAACCTTCGCTCCGTCCTCTCAGGAGGAAGGGAGACCCTAACAAAAGCCCACCAGTACCTGCCCAGGCTGACTTCCTGGCATGGCCACACACCCCCAGTCCCCAGGCTTGTATTATACTCCCATTTCTTTTCTTTCTTTCTTCCTTTCTTTTTCTTGAGACAGGGTTTCTTTATGTAACAGCCTTGCTATCCTGGACTCACTCTGTAGACCGGGCTGGCCTCGAACTCAGAGATCCGCCCGCCTCTGCCTCCCGCGTGCTGGGATTAAAGGTGTGCGCCACCATTGCCGGGCTACACTTGCATTTCTTGAGTGCCTGCTATCTGCATCCTTGCAGCTGAAAAGTTTCTTTTCCAGGAAACCAGGTGGCACCTGCGTCTCTTTCTCTACTTGCCCTTCTTAGCTGAGGGTCCAGAATGTAAACCAAAGAGACAAGGCTCATTGGGACCCGCACATCACCAAGCAGAGTCCCCTAGTGAGTTCACATTGGGGATAAAAAGTGTGGATAAGAAGACTCCAAACAAACTGCAGGAAAACCCGAGATTGCCCTAAGCCTAGAACTCCTGCCCACAGGGTAGTGCCACTGTCCACGCTGAGGAGGGGAGGGACTTCACTTTCGGCCCCCTGACTCCACCTGTGCACCTATGGCATGGAGTGATGACATTATCTTGCAATTGGTTATTTACTGTTTGGTCCCCTGACTCAACTGTCACATAAAAGTCACTAGGTTGAAGGGCATCAAGATTTGGCTTCATTGTCCACCCTGGACTTGCTTGGTGACCTTAGATTAATTTTTCCAAACCTCGTTGGTCCTACTCTACACCTAGTCACGACAAAAAAAAAACATGAAGAAAAAAATGTTTATTAGTTTTTACTTTACACATGTCCATCTTTTACGTTTATTTTTTATCTTAAATTATATGTGTGTGTGTGTGTCTATTTGTGGGTATGTGCATGAGAAGTGCCTGTCTGTGTCTGTAGAGGCCAGAAGACGGTCTCCCTGGGGTTGGAGCTACAGACAGTGTGAGCCACCAAATGTAGGTGCAGGGAATTGAACGTAGGCCCTTAGCAAGAGTAGTAAATGCTTCTAACTGCTCTCTCTCTCTCTCTCTCTCTCTCTCTCTCTCTCTCTCTCCTCTCTTCTCTCTCTCTCTCTGTCTCTGTCTCTCTCTCTCTTTCCCCTCCATTTTGATGTATATAGTGTTTGCCTACATGAATCAAAGAACACCACATGCATGCAGTCCCCCACAAGGAGGGGGACATTGGATTCCCTGGAACTGGAGTGATGGATGGTAGTGAACCATCATGCCAGTGCTGGGAACAGAACCTGCATCCTTTGCAAGAAAAGCAAATGCTCCTAACCACTGAGCCATCTCTCTAGCCCCATCTCCTTATTTTTGAAGTACAATTTCATAAATTGTTCATTTTGTAGATTCAGACTTCCCTTTCTCTTCAAAACTCCCCAGTGAGGGACAGCTGGTGCCAGGCACTGCCTTGGCACTGTCTTTAGTTGGCTCCAACAACTCTGAGAAGTGGGTTTAACCATCCTGCTACTACAGATCTAACAAGTGGAATTCACAGAGAAAGGGAGTGGCCTGAGGACCCAGAGCAAGTGAGTGGCAGCAGCTAGCTTAAAGCCCATTTTAAAACCTGGTCCCTTTCTCTTTCCTTTAAGGGACTCAGTTCTTTTTTTGTTTTTTAAACCACTCATTTTTCATGACTTTATATTTCAGGAAAAAAGGCTACATGCTGGTACTCAAAGTATCCTGAAGGGAAGATGCCCGAGGGAACAATGCTCATGTGATGGTCTTGGTCATCAGGACAGCCCACTGGCTTTTCAAGAGAAAACTCATCAGCCTGTGGTAGGTGGAGATTGTGCATCCAGGCATTTCCATGCCAGCTGCTTTCAGCTCAAATGAACAAAGTGATTTCCACTGAAAAGGCAATGTGAATATACTGAATGTCACTCAACTCTTAACTGACCAACAATGGTCAAAATTAGGGCTGGGACCGTAGCTCATGGTGGAGCACTTTGCCTTGCCCGCACGAGGGCCTGGATTCAATCCATACGACTGCCCCTCCTCCAGAAAGGCCAAAGTGATCATTTTTGGTTTTTATATTCTATAATAAAAGTAAACAAAATGGGAAGTAGGTTTTCTTAAGTTGTATCTTCTTATATTTAGATTTCACAGTCAATAATGAGAGCCCTACATGTAAGAGCCACAGCATTTTCTTCTATAAAACTGAGCTACCACCACATGTATTAATCACTTGAAACAGTAGTTTGAAAGTAGTTTTGTGACATATATTCAGAAACAGAACACGTGAAAAGACTACTGACTTACTGATTTCATGTTGAAATGACTGTAGTTTGACCACTGTAAGTATTTTATCTGATTCACCTGCTTTCTGCAGGTGAAGCTATTAGGAATTTAAGTTCCGCCTGTGACTTGCATGCATTTGTGCTCTAGAGCAGTGGTACACATTAGGAATAGCAGAGTAATGGACACTGACTATTGACTCAGATAACTGTGTTTGATTCTTAGCCCCATGACTATTTGTGACCTAGGGCAAGTGACTTTCCTATGCCTCATTTTCCACTTGACAACATCTCCTAGAATTGTGAGCATTAACTGAGTGATTGACACGTTTGTGCTCAGCTGGTAGATAAATGTGTCTCCCCAACCTCCATGGCGTTGTCTTTGGATGATGTCCATCACTGAGCTGCCCCTCCCCACAGGCCTAAATATGCCTTTAGACACAGCTAACAGGGACATATGTGGTGAAGACGGCAGGTTTGTTGAGTGCCGCACAGGGTTCAAGAATTCATGGGTGGGCGAGTTGCTTCAATGGATACCTGCTGCCAAACCAGACAACTTTAAGATCGATCCCTGGGACCCACCTCGTAACAAGAGAGAGCCCATTCCCCCAAATTATCCTCTAACGCCCACATGTGTGCTGTGACACAGGTGCTGCCCCTATAAACAAAATAAGTGACTGACTAACTAACTAACTAACTAACTAACTAACTAACTAACTAACTGTTCTTTAGTTAGGACTTGGAAACTCTGACATGAGCAATCTGGGCATAAATACACTTTCAGGTTTTGGGAAGCCTCTCTTCTCATTTTCCCTTCCTGCCAATGTTTCAACATATGCATTTGTGAAATTTAACAATTATCCCATTGGACAAAAAAATATGTATGAACATTTAGGAGCTCCAGTCCAGAGCAAAGGATGAACGTGATGCAAACTGTTGCCTCCTCCGTCCCCAGAACATGAACACTGCTGCCAAGCTCACTCTCCCTCCTCATCCTCACAGGTTCCCAACGCTCCACCTGCCTATGAGAAGCTTTCTTCAGACCGGTCACCACCACCATATGCACCCTGACGCCAGCAAGGGGCTAAGAATGCTGAGATGATTTCCCTCACACTTTTGCTTTAAGGCTGGTAGACACCCATGCTTTTCTTTAGAATGCTACATAATGTGCGTCTCTACTAACAGGCCAGTGTTACGTTCTTGTTAGGTCAACCAGAGAAATAGTGAGGAATGGTGAGAAATATGAACCTGGGAAACGCTTTAATAAACATTTTAATGCATATTATCTGTCCCAGAAGTAATACTATTAAATCATCATCATCATAATCATCATCATCATCATTTTGAGGGGTAAAACTCACATGGATGACCTGGGAGCACCTGATTTCTTTGTGAAGAAAAGATTTTTTTTTTAACTTCAGTTATTCTTTGTGTCTTTCACATCATGCATCTCAATCCCATTCATTTCCTCGTCCCTTCGTATCTGCCCTCTGCCCTTGCAATCTCTCCCGTCTAAATAAAATAAAGTTTAAAAGGATAAAAAAAAGGAACAAAAGAAAAAAAAATCTCATTACGGAAGCTGTGGTATGACACAGTGAGTCACACAGTAAGCCCCTTTGTCCACACATCTTTACTTGCAAGCATTCAATGCAAAGAGCATTGGTCTGGTTGGAGGCCTCTGCTTCTGCTACACTATCAATGCTGGATCCTCATAGGACTCCTCTTGGATATCCTGTTTCCCTGTGTCATGGAGACCTGGAGCATTGGGTCTGCATGACCGGCCCCTTCATTTGCTCCAGCAGATCACAGATGGGATGGATGTTGGGGTGGACCAACTCATAACCCTAGTTCTGGGCCTGGGTAGTTGCTTGCAGGGTTAGTCAGCCTGCCAGCATTCCCTGTCCTCAGGACCAGGGTGAACTCACAAGCATCCCCCTCCCTCCCTGTGCAGTCACCCTCATAGCAAAGAGCAAGGGGCAGGACCAGTTCTGCTTCCACATCCTCAGGAGCGTTCTCCCATACTTACATCATCAGGGCCAGCTCTACCATGTTGTCCAGGTGAGGTGCTGCAGTTGGGGAGGGGCAGAGACAGCTCTCCTGCCCTTATGACCTCAGGAACATCTCTCTCACCTGCCACAGGTGGCAAGGGGTGTGGGGAGAGGGCATCTCTGCCCCACCCACGCCACCATATGGCAGACGAGGGGCGGGGCCTGATCTCCTATGCTCAAATTCTCAGCTGGTTCACCTGCACCTCAGTCAATGGGGTCAGCTCTACTGTGCTGCCCAGGTGAGGTGCAGGGTTCACTTTCCCGAGAGCTGCAGCTGGTAACGAGAGGGCCAGCTCCCTTGTCCACCAAGAGGTGGCAGTGGCAAGGAGGAGAGGGTATCTTTCCCTCGCCTTCACCACCATATGGCACACAAGGGGTGTGAGCTGCTCTCCCACTCTCATGCCCTCAGGGCCGGCTCACCCATGCTGAACTGCGTCAACTCTATTGTGATGCCCAGGTGAGGTGTAGGACCCTCTCTCCTAAATGCTTCAGCTGGTGAGGGGAAGGACCCGTCCTCCCCAGTGTTGCAGCCAGTGAGGGGAGAGACCATGTCTGTGCAGCCCTAGCCTCGTGGCCTTCGTTGTTATCAGGAGTCACGGACGTCAACACAGACTGAAGCTACATCAGGGCCATGTTTAACCCAGACATGGGCCCCACCAGCAGCTCAGGCTCCGACATCACCTGGGTGGAAATCAAACCACCCACCTCTGCCCACTCCTCACTGCTTTCACCTCTTCAGATGTGCCTCTGTCCACAGGCCATGAGCCATTCTGTCCTCTCTCCTTCCCACACCACACCATGCATTTGCTCACCATAATAGCGCCTGGCTGGCTGTCACCACAGTGAATACTTGAAGATAAAGATGTTTGGATGAAAGGGTTTACTGCGTGACTCCTCCCATGCCCCCCCTTCTCAAAGCATGATCTCTTTTCTGTAATTATTATCCTTACACTTGTATACATATACATGTTTATATGTATACATGTGTGTGTATATATGCAATGTGCATAAAACCTACTGAGTCCATATAGTGTTGCCAAGAGCCTCTATCTCAAACCATACATATTAAATAGTCTTAATTGTATTTTACTTCAACATTCATAGTGAATGGTAAATTCATTTTCCATTAAGCTTGAAAGTGGTGTAAGGATCTCAAAGTAAAAGAAGCTCGAGTTTGGTTGCTGTCTGTGTTTTGTCTTAAGTGTCCTCATGAGAGCTCAAAGCAGGGTCTATCGTTTCCGCCACTGCACTGCACACTCAGCCAGTGCTGTCTCTGTCCGGCCCATCTCTCCGTGGGAATGCTGGGATCACAGATGCACACTGTCACACCTGGCTTTTTGTGAGGGCCCCGGGGCTCCAAACTCAGGTCTCCAGGCTTGTACAGCAAGTACTTCTACCCACGGGCCGTCTCCCTGACCCCCATTTAGTTTTGTTGAGTTCCCCAACTCTTACAGGAGCATACAGAATAAATAACAAAGGACCAGAGATTCTTGTGTGGTATTATTTACAGTGACCTTTTCATTCCATGTATCGATTATCTAACACTATTTGGCTAGCTCATTATTATTATTATTGAGACAAGGTCTCATGTAGCTTGTGACCAGGCTGGTACTGTTGCCTCTACCTCCCAAGTGCTCCAACCTCAGGCTGTTCATGCAGTGCTGCGGACTGGCTCTTGCACTTCATATGCGACAGGCGAGCACTCCCCTGATCTGCATCCCCAGCCTATTATACAAAAAAAAAAAAAAAAAAAAAAAAATTGGCCAAAATTTTATGATCGCCCTTTTAGATTAGAGACCCTCTGGCTGGCTTCTCCCCCTCTGCCAGAAATCAGGCTACCTCCACCCCTACCCCACGTTACACTCCAGGAGAAAGAACTGACAGATGACTGGGCTCAGGCCTCAGTGGAGAGGCAAGTCCATCTCCTCCTCTTGCAACTCTGAGATAAACTTTTGATCCTACCTAGTGGCTGCCTCTGTGACCCTCTGCACACATCTAGCTCAGAATCCTCCTCTGTCCTGGGGATTTAAATGGCTCTACACGAAGCTCCTCTTCAGATCTCAAAGCCTGATCTCTTCCTGTGTTAGCCAGTTTTATGTCAACTTGACACAAGCTAGGTTCTGTAAGAGCTCAGGCTGAGCAAGCCATAAGGAATAAGCCAGTAAGCAGCACCCCTCCATGGTCTCTGAATCAGCTCTGCCTCCAGGTTCCTGCCCTGTTTGAGTGCCTGTCCTGGCTTCGTTCAGTAATGGACTGTGATGTGGCAGTGTAAACCAGACACACCCTGTCCTTCCCAAGGTGCTTTGGCCTCATGTTCCTCGACACAGAAGAACCCTGAAGGACCTGGTCAGGGCTCCCGTTCCTAACAGTTTCTGAAGGGTAACCGTGTCAGCTCCTGTTGATGAACCTGATGCCCTTTAACACCCAGTTCACCCTAAATGCAAAGATGTCACTTTCCTAGGTAGAGCTACAAAATTAAAGTGAGAATAAAAACAGGCTGATTTTAAATTAAAACCTAGAAGACTGAAGAGCTGTAAAGAGCTATGAGCCTGAGACCTGCTTGCTTTGTTGGAGACATTAAGACCCATGGAGAACTCAATGCTGTTTAAAGAAATGTTATTTTTCACTATATGATTCTTTCTTACTTAATGCTATCAATAAATCATCTAAAATACCTTTTGTCATTAGAAACATAAGCATAACATTAACAAGACCATGTCTACCAAAGACAAGTATAAAGGATAGGGCTGCAGAGATGATTCAGAGGTTAAGAGCACTAGCTGGTCCTGAGTTCAATTCCCAGCAACCACATGGTGGCTCACAACCATCTGTAATGAGATCTGGTATTCTCTTCTGGCCTGAAGAGATAGGTACAGGCAGAACACTGTATACATAATAAATAAATAAATATTAAAAAAGATTAAAGGGATGAACACAACAGAAAAATGACATTCAAAGAGATACTAAAAATGTTTGTGCCTTTCCTGTTCCGTCTTCTCACGGAAAATCCCGTTCTCCTTTCAAATACATGAACTCTAATGAAGAGACTATCAGGAATTTTGGGACCCCAGGCCCTGCTTCACAGTCTTGGAACCTCCTTGACATCTTCAGAGGGACCTCCGGCTTGATCCCCAGCCTCCCACACTGTTAAGACACTTTTCCATGAGGAAAGCTTCTCAGTGTCCTTCAGCGAGTGTCAGGGATGACAGACAATAGGCTTGGGCTGAGTACGCCAGAGAGAAATTAGTGTTTGTTGAAAGAAATAGGAGGTTCAAAATTGTAGCCCTACTTCTAAAGACTACTCTTTGGATTCACAATCAACTGCAGGCCTCCCTGGCAGCCCTTTGCTAAAGACAGAAGTGGCACATGGTGCTAGAGTCTGTCTGTTAACAACGGAAGAAGTCTAGCCCACCTAGAAATGCCCCCACTGAATCAGAAAACAGCTTCACAGAAACTCCATGAATGTTAAGACTGGCATTCTGACACTAAAGACCATTAAGCACTAGGCTGAGGCTCTGAATTTGGGATTTCGAGGCCTTTGATGCCTGGACTGAAAAAGCAAGGTGTGGTTGATATATTGTGCACCCCAATAAACTTATCTGGGGGTCAGAGAACAAAACAGTTACTACATTAAACATAGAGGCAGTGGCACACACATGCCTTTAATCCTAGCATTCTGGAGGCAGAGATCCATCTGGATCTCTTGTGAGTTCAAGGCCACACTGGAAACAGCCAGGCATGATGACTCATGCCTTTAATCCCAGCACTTGAGATCTCATGTCTTGCTTGGGAAAGACACGCCTCTAATCCCAGGAAGTGATGGCAGGAAGCAGAAAGGTATATAAAGCATGAGAACCAGGAACTAAAGGCTTTTTAAACTTTGGGGCTTTTAGCAGCAGTTCAGTTGAGATCTATTCAGATGAGGACTCAGAGGCTTCCAGTTTGAGGAAACAAGATCAGCTGAGAAGTTGGCAAGGTGAGGTTGGTTGTAGCTTGTTCTGTTTCTCTGATCTTTCAGCATTCACCCCAAAACCTGGCTCCAGGTTTGTTTTTATTAATAAGACCTTTTAAGATTCAGGCTACAGCAAGGAGAAAATGGCCTCAGGGAGGGGAGGTCCTTGTCATCTTTGTAGGATTGGCTTTCTGATGAAGAAAATGTGAGCCTAGGAGATCAAGCCTCCACTGCAGCGTGCCCACTTGCGGGCAGAGAAGGGTTCAGGGTATGGTGCTGCTTTCATCTTGTCTTCTGAGAGCCAGATGGAGATGAGAGTGGCCAGAACTCATGACTCATTTGCTCTGACTAGGAGTAGTCTTTTCCAGTTAGTCAAATATCACGTACAAGTCACACCATCTTCACTGAGGTGGGCTGAACAAA